AAAGGAATTTATGTGATCTAAATACGTAATAAATTGCATATTTTTATTAATTACCAATTTGTTTGAAATATTTTCTGGGTTTTATACTTAAGCGTCCTCTAGTAACGGCTATTAGCCTTATCCTTATCAGAATAACATTTTGGCTCCAAAATGTGGTTTACAAATTTTACTTAGGTGTGAGTATTTATATTGTGTCACTCATGCAGAGTAGGGTTTTGATTCAAAGATATTGATTTATTGTTCGTTTGCAGATTTGTGTAGAACAGTGAAATATCAATTTCTAAATATATTTATTCGGGTTGCATTACATTGATATGGTTAGAAGTTGATAAAATTAAACCCGATTTAGTATGTATATAAAATGGTTCTAATGATTTGTGTAGTCTAGATATTAAGTTATACACTGGGTTGAGAATGTTTTACTCGCTGAGAAAAATTCGATTTGGTGCACAGTGTAATGTCAACATACCAAATTCTTCATAGTAAACCACCAAGTAAACCTGACAGGTTCTTAATAGAACATGAATCCTGCAATGTTAAGGTGTTGTTGGTATTAACAGGCTTTTTAACGCTAAATCAGGCAGAGAATTTGGTTATCATGGTTAGGATGTAAGATTTTTTTTTCTTTCATTACTAAAGACTTTGGTCATCAGAAAATGAGAATAAAGTAAACTGTTAAAATGGTGTGCACCAAAAATGAGCACATGGTTACACAAACTATTAGAATAGTAACAGGATGTCGGTTGTTTCAGCACTTTAAAGCTTGTAAGCAGATTGTATAACTTCAATACTTATATTTATAACAATTTAGTGTAAAATGGTCAAGTTTGGGTAGGTTACAAGTGCATATAATGTTTTTGGTTTCATTAAAGAACTAAGGCCTGTGGATTGTCAGTATACGATAAGAATTTAGCACTGCAAATGCATGTAGCTAGAGTAAATTGCCTTTGTTGTTCATCATGTAGCTATTACAGTCAGTCGCTTATTTTGATTTCATTATTTGCCATTGGGTTGGTTGCATAATTACAAGATAAAGCATATTAAGGTATTCATATTGTATATTTATGCTTTGCTTTGTTTTTTTTTTGGAACTTGGAAATGCCAATAGTGATTTATTAGCCACATCACGCTATAATAATAATAATAATAATAAAAAAAAAAGGTTGGTTAATTAAAAAATCCTCTATGGTTTTATATGCTTGTATACAGTGTATATATATCCTGTATGGTTTGGTTACCAAGGTAGTCCATATATAGTTGAACAATTTTTGCTATATATATCCTATATGGTTGGATATGCTTGTGCACGGTATGTATATGTATAAATATTTCTGTATGGTTTTGTAACCAATTTGTCCTATATGGTTGGACAATTAATTTTAGCTATCCTATATGGTTGGATATGCTTGTATACAGTGTATATATATTGAATGGCTTGGTTACCATATTGTCCTATGTGGTTGGACGCAGTATATTTATATCCTGTATGGTTGTAATTAATTTGACATATCCTGTATTGTTGGATATGCGTGTATACAGTATATATATATATCCTGTATGGTTTGGTAACCAAGATGTCCTATATGGTTGGACACATTATTTTTAGCTATCCTATATGGTTGGATATGCTTGTACAGCAATATATATCCTGTATGGTTTGGTAACCAACTTGTCCTATATGGTTGGACAATTAATTTTAGCTATCCTATATGGTTGGATATGCTTGTATACAGTGTATATATATTGAATGGTTTGGTTACCATATTGTCCTATATGGTTGGAATATTTATATCCTGTATGGTTGTAATTAATTTGACATATCCTGTATGGTTGGATATGCGTGTATACAGTATATATATATTCTGTATGGTTTGGTAACCAAGATGTCCTATATGGTTGGACAATTATTTTTAGCTATCCTATATGGTTGGATATGCTTGTACTTCAATATATATCCTGTATGGTTTGGTTACCAATTTGTCCTATATGCTTGGACAATTATTTGCCATTATTTGATCGTACGTGTATGTATGTATGTTTTATGATTTTAATAAATTTGAAATGCTATTTCATTTTGTAAGTCATGTTCCTCCTTCCTTTGATGTTTTATAGGTCCATATTTGCTTTGAATACTGTTCGTTATCTCCATGTTTCAATTACTGTGAGTATTTTAAAATATTTTTTCCACTTATTCTAGTGTCGAAAAAAGCGCTTTATTAATTGTGTATGGTACAAATACACTTGAGTAGTTCAGAAGAGAAATTAAATTAGACTCCTTTTCAGACGCGTTCTGTTATAGTGGATTTGTGCTAAGTAAGGTGGAATTTTGTTTATGATTCTATCTATTTTGATCTTATTATCATTTGCAGTTGTAAATATGACAAAAGCAATCCAACTTCATTTTTTCGAACGATGTATCCTGCTACAGCAGCGGATACAATCTAGCAAGAAACCGTGAAAAAAAGGTACCATTTAGGGCCACCGAATAAGGTCTTTAAAAAAATAAATCGTTTGAATAATTGTTAATTGCTATGTTCATTTGATATTTGTAACCAATTTGAGTAAATTGAAATCGTTACAAAAAGCCAGAAAAATTAGGTAATGTTGTACATATAAATGTGACAATGATAATGGTTCTCTTAGTTTTCATAAAAGTGTTTAAATATGAAGAAATGAGTAAAGATATCGAACAATGATCGTTGTATAGAAAGGACACTGTGGAAAGGGTATAAATTACTTAACCTTAAAATATCAGGTTGTCGTTCATTTTCTCCACATGTATTCTGGGATGTCTATACATTTATAAATTCTCTTTTGTTTTCCTTTGGTGGATTTTATATCAATATGTAATCTTTGCTCGTAAAAGGGCTTTCATTGAAAGAAAATTTCAGGAAATAAACTTTGAAAGGAAATAATCGTAAAAGTTATTTAAACTCCAGTTATTCCGGATAAAGATGGAGGAGTTGCTTATCTTTGAACACAACGATCACTTCGTTGAGAATTCAAGTAAAGTAGGAAATGAAACAGTCAGATTGGTTCGGGGACTACCATTAAATTTAATGGATAAGTGTACTTTTCTTTAATTCAACGAACTGGATCGGAGTTTGTATGTTGTTCAATTTCCCTCTCGAGAATTTTTCACTCATACGGAGACGCCACCACTTGTCGATGGAGAGCTGCAAATTTTGTCCTATACTCGGCACTCAGGGCCATTGAGCAGGTGGGATCTTTTTCGTGCCAGCACATACTACGATGGGGAACTTCAGTTTATATGAGTTCAACCGAAGGATTGGTCTCCTCGCCCTACAGCGGGATTCTAATGTTAGGATCAGCTCTTTTACCTCGCAACTCTAGAGCAAAACTGGAAGTAAAACCAACACTATTTCTACAAAGCACCAGATACTGATTTCTAGTTTTATTCTCCATCTCCCTCCATATCATCATGTATATCCGACTACATGTGTATGTGTATAAGCTGAAATTCAATATGAAAGGACAGTTGATAGAATATTCTTCAGCATCCATATTAAACTTTTTTTTAAATTTATTTTTAAGAGAACTTGTAAGTTTTTTTCCTTGTTCATGAATTGTCAGTCATCCTAGAGCATTGTGTATGTTTTATAAACCACAAAATTATATTTTAAAAAATTATTTAAGTTGTATTAGCAATAAAAAAAGAAACAAGACAAAGTATATTTGTAAAATTAGAAAAACATTTATTAACTGGAATGGTGGAGATGATAAACAGATAACAATCATTCATGAAAATAACAATGGTATTCAATCACACAAACACTAAAAAACACACACTTGCCCTCACAAGCATACTGTCAAACATGTAACAATTCGGGGCTACGATTGCCAGTAGAAGGAAATCGGTCACCAAAACAATCTTTTTTTTGTATTTCAGTAGGGTGATCATCCTTTGTAATGGTGGGTTTTTATTCTCTCTCCGCAATTACCACTTCTGTTTCACCGCCTTCACACAAACAACTTTCTTTCTACACTTAACTTGTTTAACAAGATCATTTATGTATTTCTAAACATGGCTTATACTAAAACGAATAAATAACAATATGGCTAAAAACAATCAGCATGTCCCAAACATAAAAAAAAAATTGAGCGGTTTATTCTTAATTTGATAAACATATTCTACAGTTTCAATAGCAGACAAAAACAAAACCATTTAAAACAAAATAAAAAGAATACCAAAGTAATAAAATGTTGCTATGGCGTTTGAGGTGGTTTCTTTTGTTAGGATATCAACATCATTTTTGTACATACACAAATAGAAAAAGACTGTATAAACAAGTATATCTAACATATTTGACTTTCAAATCTCACATTTACTTTCATTATTGTGAATAAAACCTTTTACAAGTGTAGAGGAAAAACACACCAGTTGAAATGTAACAAGGCAATCAGTTCAATCTGTATTCCTATCAAGTTAAACTAAAATCTTGAAGCTTTATGTTGACAATATGGAAAATTAAAATGATTTAATACACTACAAAAACAATGATACAAGAATAATGGGTAGATTGTATATCATTCTGGTAAAAACTAAATGGTCTGCTAGGAATTTTGGGGTTGCATATGATATTACTTTCGTTCGCACAAGTCGTAAGAGCGAGTTAGGTTTCAAATATTGCTAGTTAAAGATTGCCCTAATCAGAGCAACTAACAACATTCCTGAAGATTCTTAAACTATGTTTAAATATTTACAGGTGTTCCTTTTTTCCAAAAGGCAGAAGATGGAATTCGATCTAATTGACGCGTCAGTCGAGTTAAAAAAGAGAGTTATGGTTCCCTGGGTCCTTAAGAAACAGCAATGATATCTAAATTTAACTTAAGAACAGAAATAGCACAGCTTAATTATCAAAACGAAATATGAGTCATAAAGTTTTCTGGGTGGGAGTTTTGGATATAGTTCCCAGAAATTTGCAATTTAAAATAGAATAATTTATATAATTATGTATCTCTAATTGATATTTTAAAAAAAATTAATATGAATATGTAGACGTGTACATTTGTATTATAAACTTAAAAGTGATTTTGGAAGAGAGCACTCTACATACACGGTTAAAAAATGTTAATATGATGTTGAATGATGGTGTTAAGGATTCAATCTCTCTCTCCTGATGTAAGTTTGAAGGGTAATGTGAACACACACACATTCATGTTTGTTTGATATACACAAAAGTTGCATTGTCAAGTTCAGGGACACGTGAATAGAAATGGAATTGTTCTTGAAGTAGGAAACAATTGTATCATCGTTTTATCTTCTGTACACACTGAAACACAAAGTGAACTTGCTATGTACCCTGATGCACCCATGTTTCATGTATGTTTCCAGGAAGCATGAATGATAAAATGATATAAATACATGTCTGATACAGCTATTTCTGACATACTGTTTTATTCCTGAACAAGCATTTGCTTCGTGTCTGGTTGTTTCACAACCTTGGAGTTCCCAACACTTTGGCAAGTCAACATTTCATGAATTTGTAATCTTATACAGTCATTTTGTTACATCATGTTTTCTTGGAATTATTTCTGTAACTTTTTCCATGCTCTCATCCTCGACCAAACAGCGCTATGAGAAAGATCATCTCATCGTTGAAGTTCTTAAGACTTCATGATTTGTCCATTTGTTCCATTTAACAAATTTCAGATCGGTATTCCTGAATTCTCAATTAGAAATGATGTTCATTGTCTTTGCTCAACAGGACGCCTTGCTTATCTTGAGATGAACTTTAAAAACGTTCAACTCATCTCATAACTCTGTCACAGGCCCAGAGGGGTTATATTGCTTTGGAGATCCATTTAAAACGATTTTGTCTTTATCATGTCTATGTGTGACTCTCTGGAGAGTTAAAGTTCTGTCCACAGACACTTCTCTCTCAACATTCTCCTCGGAAGGAGGTTTCCCATTCGAATCTAAGGAATTTTTCTTCCTCGATGACTTCATTCTTGAAAGTTCATTTTGCACGTTTAACACGATGTCTTTTCTCACTTCTTTTGCCTTGTCTTTGGCAATATTGTGTACTTCCGTGGCTTTTTCTCGTGCCTTCGTTCTCATTTCAGTAGCCTTCGTCCTGGCTCTGACTTTTGCTTTACCCCATTGTTCTCCAGCAATTTTCATGTGTTTTCTACCCACAATACTCATTTTATCTCTAGCTTTGTCCATCTGTACTTTAGCTTTATCTATTGTCACATTTAAATAGTCAACACCGACATTTATACACATGGATACCAGTGCCAATCCGAGAAAAAGGTAGATTGAGGACACCAAGAAATACTCTGGCTGACCAGGTACAATGTCGCCAAAACCTATAGTACTTATTGAAATGAATACATAATAAAACGAATCGATGAAGTTCCACTGTTCTAAAATCATGTAGAAGCAGGTTCCTAAGAAAATGTATATTAACATTATGACAGAGGCGATAGGAAGTGGCAAGTTGAAATTTTCGTCGATTTCAAAATCATTCATATCATGTGACTCCTTTGACGTCACAGAGTCCCCGCATGCGCTCTCCGTTTCCTCTGTTTCCGGAACCATCAGTGTAACATGTTGAATACTGTTTCCATGAAGAGTGCTTTCAGTTTCTTCTGTCTCTGGTACCACCAAGGTAATTTGTTGAATACCATTTCCATGAAGTGTCACCTGATCAAGTGACGATTCTGCCATTATCTGCGCAGCTTCCTCTAGAACTGCCAACGGAAGTTCTGTTGAATCTATGACATCAGTACCTACCTCAATATCAATGGTTTTGGGAGTTTCGTTGTTTTCTCTGTCTACCGGGGACTCCCGACGACCTCGAAGTCGCCTAACAGATCTTACAGATGCCTTCCGTAGAGCTGTTTTCCCGCGTTGAAACCCACTCTTCATATATGTACTTCCCGTTTGGCGTACTTTTATGCAATATCCAGTGTAATAGTATCTTCTTACAAATTTCCACAGAAACTTTAAACCCACGGTTAACTTTTTGCCGACTTCTGCTAAAACCATTAAAGCCAAAGGTATCCCAATTGTTGCATAAAAGATGGTCATAACTTTTCCGAAGTCAGTGTTTGGTGTGATGTGACCATAACCTGCAACGAAAGACAAAAATCATTTATATTTTTTACTTTTTATGACATTTTATGACATGTCATTCAACTATCAGGAGAGAAGAGATTTTATTTTTTAATATGAACGAGTCAGCTCTAGCAAGATATCAATATTCTTCCAGTATGGTTGAATACATTGGGAAGATGGTGTTCGACAATTAAACATACAAAGAATAACAATAAGTACTACTATGATAGAGAAAAAATATCATCCAGACAAGAGCAGACACCTATAGGTGAAATTAAAGATTTGGCAAACATTCTAAAACCCAAACCACGACCAATACGTCTGGACCAACCAGTTGTATCCTCGGATAATGGTAGTTGTTTTTGGCAAAAGTCGCATTAACTACCTCATACCAATACTTATACTTTATTTATATAGAATTAACAGGAATGTTTTGGTTATTTTGAAAAGACAGTGGGCGTGTGTAATTTTTAATGGATATATATTGGATAATTCTTTTACAGTTCTAATGCGATCTGGAAATGACATGAAATTAAATACCTTTTACTGTCAAAGATATAATTAACATTGCATTTTAAAATGTCATAAATCCTATCATAATTGAATACTGCAAATATTAAATTTACTAGGCGGGGTCAAATGCAAGATTTACAAATATTTTGATGTACAGTTTGTATTTATATTCACCTTGTAAATTGAAAATTAACAACATAATCTAGGTGGTGAGCAAAATTCAGAAAATCAACTTTATGTTTTGTTTGCAATTATCCTTTAACTCTTGCAAAAAAAAATGTTCATTCCAGGAATATTCATAATTATGAAATTAATAAGACGGTGCTTCTTTTACCCTAGAACCAGTTGCTAAGCTAATCAATAAATTATTGTCATTCGTGTTTACATATTTTTTTTCCTCGTTTCTAGGCGCCGTTGTGTAGAAGAATGCTGTTCTACGTCTTTGCTGTTTTCGTGTCTAGTAAATCTGCATGTTTTATAACAGTCTGGATAAGATTTGCTTCACTTTCTTTGAATCTTAATTTTATTGCGAACAGATAGCTTGCTTTCAACATAAAATCTTCTCTGAGATTAGTTTCCAAATTGCAGAGTTAAACACCATCTGACGTATTTTTTTCTATTGAAGAAAGAAGATGCAAAGCATTATCGTTTCCAAAAATCTTCTACCTCGTTTACTAAATGCACAGCAAATTAGTTCTACAAGTGAACGAATTAAAACTGAAAATGAAAAGGATGAGTAAAAGATTTGTCTATTTTCATGAATTTAGACAATCTCCTCAAAGATGCTCTGCACAAGTCTGCATTTACAGAAGCAACAAATATGCAAATATTTTTACCAACCAAGCACTCTTAAAGTTGAGAACATTTTTTAAACAATGGTTATGATAAAAATATATCATATCGTATCGCAAAATCAACCAAAATCTAGAGAGATACTGGGCGATTTCGAAGAGTCATAATTAGTATGATTATGGCGTCACAGAGATGGTTATGACTGCCTTTGTTCTGGGATCACTTACATGGCTCCAACTCGTCTAATAATATAACGCACAGGACGTGGAAAGGTCAACTAATGCCGCGGTATGGTAACGTTATCAGCATAACGAACCGTTAACGATATTAATATCATACAGCAGAAAACGCCCCAGTGTCAGCAAGAACATAATGTTATTCCATGTTGTGCATGTAAAATGTTCGAAACAGATTTCATGTCCCTCAGTTTTTTTCAATTAGCAAACATTTAACAAAAAAACCTGATAATTCGAAATTTTACGTTTTATATTCTTTCTGAGAAGTCAGTTGATCGCCTAAGTTCGCTTGCAAATGAAATTTTTACTATTAGAAGCAAAAGGCAATTTAATTTTACTCCTTTTATGTGACATTAAACTTCCTGCTTGAAATAAAGTAGTTTTTGTTCCTCTTCCATTCTAAGCTGATGTGATTTTTTTCTCTTCTTGTTCGAATGCATCTTAATTTCCTAGAGTTTTAATTGCGAACTGAAAATAATTAGGCAAAGGAAAGGTCATACTTGTCATTAACATTTAATTGGATTCTGAGAGGAATAAATTGCAGCAACTTAAAAGGCTAAGCTAATTGCTAACATTTAAGGACCGTGTATTCTGTCGAGTATATGGAATGAAAACTTACACATACACAGCAAATTTACTTTAAATCTGCAGAATTTTCAAAAAAGCTTAAATATACGTGTTCACTTTAATTTAAGCTTTGTCAAATACAATTTTGGTATAGTGGTTTGGTTAATTATCAATGAATTGATTCGTAATTCCGAAAGTACAAATATATAGGCCCCTAGCTTTTGGTAAATTTTTCGATATATTTTAAATAAATCGTGCTCCAAATGTAATAACTAGGACCTTTTGTTAAAGCCACTTTAAATAATCCCTTTTCTGTACAAAAAAAGAAAAAGAAAATGACAATATCTACAGATTTGATGCTCGGCTACAAATACTACTCATTATATACACGCTATAGTTTCGATTAAAAATCAGATATTACATTCGCATACGTTAATCAAAAGCTATTGCCGTTTATCTCAAAACATTAATCGGTCATAAACTTCCAAATTTCTTGAATAAAAACGCGTCAATCGGACAATGGATCCCTGAACTGGGACCCTAGTTTCCTGTGTGCTTAACCAAAATTAGCAACAAATTCAAAATAACGGATGGAAATTAAATTGTAGGACTTTTAATAATTTGGTTAAACAGGGGTAATGGGTCTTCTTTAACTTTGATGTGACAAGTATTACATTTTTTCATTTTCCTTTTTTTATGGTTTGTGTTCATTTGAATTACCCACGGGATTATTTTGCCCTTCCCTTAGTGTTGAACTACAATTCAAGATCAACACTTTTTTCATTATTGTAAAATCTTTGAAATAGGTCTATGATAATTCTTTATGCGACAGTTTGAACCCATCTTATTTACTGTTTCAAAACATGTTTCTAATCTTGTACCAAGGTTAACCAACTAGTGAAATCTTCATAGTTCACGCGAGACATACACGTGCTGGTGTTTATTTGTCTGTCGGTGATGTTTAGGCAATAGATAAGTTAATCCTATTCAAGATTATAAATAAAGTTTTAATCTTGAACCATTTTCTTTTTTTACATTTTTAACTTATTGGTATTTTCAAAGACAAGAAAAAATATCTGCTAATAACATGGAAATAAAATAAGTAAAGTGTCTTACTTCACAGAATTAAATAAATTAAACGGTCAATCGATTTGGAGCAAATGATAGAAAACTTCTGAGATGAAACTAACCTTTTAAGATTGAAATTAAAATAAATGTCCTTATACCGGTATTTTTGACAAGAATTTATATTAACGTATAAATTATCGTAAGACTTTCAAAACAAAATAATCATAAAATGATTAAAACGTTGTTTACCAGTATTATGATAATTTTCTGTAATTCAGAAATCCCTGAAACAAGAAGGACAAAAAAACTATCGCAAGGTGTTTATACTTAGCATATCGAATATGTCATTTTGGATAGGCAAGATATTTTATTGAACTGTTTACTGAAAGATATACAGCACACGTACAACATTTAACGGATAACATATATATTGACCAGTAATGTCCGCCCACTTAGAAATGTCAGATCCTTTCCCCTCTGCGTTTATCAAAAACCCAGGAATAAGCAGAAAAATAGCAATTGGGGAACTTAGAAGCTCGTCTGATGATAAAAGCAGATCCTCCAATAGGGAGGCATGACATGATAATGAGGATTTGGACCGAACCCCCCGATGTTTTACTGGGTATTTTGAGTCTCTATCTATTTATAGAAACTCTTTTTCCCGCTTATCATAGGTCAACTGCCTTCTTGATTTGCAATGCTACTGATAAAAAGAATAGAATTAATGCATTTAAGAAGTCAAATACAAAAACTTTAATTTTTTTGAAAATCATCGCGATTTGTATCTTTAAGAATCCACCTTTCTGAATGTCTATCAACAATTTCTTTTGTTCTACGAAACGAAAAGTTAAAAAAGTTTCTTTTTTGGAAAATTCAGTTTGAAGTTGTTCTTTATGAACTCTTGAACGTATTATTATAAACCAGGTAGCCTTGAAAGTATTCCCTAAAAAATGAATACATTTGAAATGAGTTTTCGAGCAAAAACAAGTGGTGCTTTGCTCTCTCTCTTTTTTGGAAGCGCTCGTTATCTTCAAATTATATCTATAAAGTATATTGCCAATGATCTCTGTGTCTACTGACGTCATAATAGGTGTTGCAGGTTTTATACATGTAGTTACAATTCCAAATAACATTCGTATTAGATACGAGTTCTACACTTTAGAAGGTGGATAGCTAAACACGGGTTTTTTATGATAAATTTCCACTATCATTTAGCGATCTTGAAAAATATAGAACTTGCACAGGTCCCAATAAAAGAATGCTAACGGTGAGAGCAAACAGTAGGAATCTATTTGATTTTGTTTAATAATTATCTTGCAGCCTTTTGATGGGGAATAAATTCTCCCAAATCAAACAACGTTATGGACGAGATCCAAATCCTCCTCTAAAAACGCCACCGCGCATCTCCTGGGATAATCTCGTTAGAGGGTCTTATCTTAATTATCGTCTCTCTTAGATTAATTTGTTTCACACTTTCTTGCGCAATAATCATCCCCTGTGCCAAACGATTATCGCATTTAATCGATCGATGTTGTCCGAAAACCACAAGATCCTCGAAATAACTTGAAAGAACAATGTTGCGGTTGCGGAACATAATTATGGTTTATTGTGTATCGCATATACCACATATGATACATCATATATACATGTTGCAAAGTCTGTACAAGATAGGTCTCTTCTGGTGGAAAACCGAAAGAGGTCACTGTTGCGAAAAGGTTAAAATGCGGTAAAACGTAATTTAAGAGACAGCGAAAATGTGAGCTGCAATCTTACAATGTAGTTTATCACCGGTATATCAACACTTTAAATACTTAAATAACTATTTCTTAGGAATGCTTTGTACATGTATACGGATCTAAAATACCATCCAGAGAATTTAATCTGAAAACCCTAAACTTTCATATAATTGCTGTAAAAGACCCAGTTTTCTATATCAAAAAAATCTAAGAATTCTCGGATGATGTGCACTTTTGACTCAATTTTAATTCTTTTGAAAAGGAAACTAAAGGAATGTGGTGTAACAAAATGTTCCTTTTCAAAATTTACAATTACTTAGACATAAAATTAAATCCTCTTTATACAACTTCTATGTCGAGTCATGCTTTATAAAAATCTTTCGAGCCATTTATTCTAGCTCATTGAGGATAATAGTTATTCTCACACAACCCACTGATTGAGTTTTATACACGGTAATGAATCATGACCGAATGGTTGAGATACGCTTATCTAACCTTGATCCATAATCATAAATGAAAGAGTGTGGAAAGGTCTTTTTAAACAGCATCTTGAGCTGATACTGTTAAAAAGAGATAAGAAAAATGATTAGATTTAATATCAATACAAATCAAAGTTATAAATATTTTGCACTAACGTCTACAGTCAGAATGGTCGCACTCTATCTCAAAGCACTACAATTTGTCCTTTTAAAAAATGCAACTATAATTGCAAACTTCTTTAAATCAATATTGCCCAAGCTGCGATTTTTAATTGTAGCTCAGTTCAACAAGTATACGTGATTCAGAAGTTTATAGAAAAGATAAAGTACAGAATATTATATTCAGTTTCTTCGGAAAATTGGAAAATTGTGTGTGTTGGATTTTCTAAAAGTCTAAGATCTTTAACACCAAGTATCATTCAGTTTGCATCTTCTTAATTCAGTTTGCCATTTGCATCTTCTTTAAACCATAAACAAAATTATCATTCAAAATGTCGTTTAGAAATTAATGATCTCTCAGTTGAAATCTTACATTAATGAATGCACAACGATATAACATTCAAAAAGAATTTGTAATTGATTAATTGTATGTTGTTTAACGTTCCTCTCGAGAATTTTCACTCATGTGTAATAGTATCAACGCCACCATCCCCGTGGGGATCCGGGTTAGAATAGGTCCTCAGTACCCCCTTGCTTGTCGTGAAAGGCGACTAAATGGGGCGGTCCTTCGGATGAGACCGTATAAACCGAGGCCCCGTGTCACAGCAGGTGTGGCACGATAAAGATCCCTCCCTGCTCGAAGGCCGTAAGTGCGAGCATAGGCCTAAATTTGCAGCCCTTCACCGGCAATGGTGACGTCTCCGTATCAGTGAAATATTCTGGAGAGGGACGTTAAACAGTACACAATCAATCAATCAATCAATCAATCAATCAACGCCACCACTTGCCGGTGGAGAGCTGCTAATTTTGTCCTATGCTCGGCACTGAGGGCCATTGAGTAGTGAGGGATCTTTTCGTGCCAGCACCTACAACGACACGGTTTATATATGGTCTGATTCGTAGGACTGGGAAGAATTTGTGTATGAAGAGTTAGGTATAAATCCTACACGTATTACCCACGTATTACGGACCACAGATGATACCATTCACTTGTGTTATATGTTACCTCATTATGAAAGTCAATATCTTCGAATTATGATAAGTATAACGTTTTTTTTTATATGAGAAAATTGGAATTTAATTGGAATTAAATAATGCACAGTGTTCTTTTATATGATACAAACATTGGGCTTTTATATCTTAAATGATTTCTGCAGAACAACTTTTCAAATCAGAGAACTTCAATTTTATTTGTGAAAAACATTAGGGAAAACGTGAATAATATCTTTTTTCGAGGAAAACTTATTAAGATTAGATATTTCAATTAATTGAATGCTTCTTTATCTGTCATTGCCGAGTCCTTAATCCTGTAAAGCGTGAAACACCCAATTGTATTACATGTTTTACTTACAAAAAAAAAGAGTCACTTGTATTACTTGAAATTTACTACTTATATGAATGATTACATTTTTATAGTTTTCAAATTACTACATTATCATTCATTTGCTCAAATCAATGGTGGTTTAATGTGATGCTAAAATTTGATAGCGGCAGATTCAAATCAAAATTTTATCCTCAACATTTCATCAAAGTCAAGTGTTTGTAAAAAAAAATATTTTTAACATAGAATTTTAAAACAAAACTACAGCGTAGTTGATCTCCAAATTAAGTCTTGGGATGGCCGGGTCCGATGAGGTAATTTTGAACTCATATCCCCAAAACAATATAATTTTTTTTGGTCATCCGAGGTTTCGAAACCTAGCTAATACTGAAGTGTTCATGTTTTTGTTTGAACGTAATAACATTTCAAGTAGGTGATTAAGTGAATACATTGACTCAGTTCTTTTTTTAAAAGTATCTAAACAAAGTATTTCATTCATCAACCAACAATCCCACGACCAAAACAATTTACAACAGGTAAATATGTGGATATTCACAACTAACGCACTATCAATATTTTAAACGTTCTTATGCAACGCCCTTAAGAACGGTCTTCCCTTAATGAATCTTAAATATATACTAATTTTTCAAACTCAATGGCCCGCGTGGCGCAGTAGATAGAGCGTCTGCTCTGGAGTCGCGAAGTAAGGAGTTGATCGGTTCGAATCCCATTATGGGACGTGGAAACCGCTCATTCGGATGAGACCTCTAAACCAAACCGAGGTCCCGTGTCGCAGTAGGTGCTGGCACGAAAAAGATCCCTCACTGCTCAATGACCCTAAGTGCCGAGTATAGGACAAAATTTGCACCTCTCCACCGGCAAGTAGTGGAGTCTCCATATGATTGAAAAATTTTTGAGAGAGACGTTAAACATGTTAAACAATACACAATCAATCAATCAACTTAACTCAATGAAAAATACTATTTGAAATCCTATGGTTTTTCAAATTCATTTGTGGGTATATATATAGATGAAACCATCTAGAACCTATAAATATAATTTTCTGAAGAAGTTTTCATTTCAAAAACCATAACATTAATTCTTTTATATTGCATGAAATGAAGTTAATGGTTTCTTTACCATCAATGAAATTTATCCAAACTTTTTTCTCATTTTCTAATCGCAAGCAGAAGCCAGAAGGCGTGGTAGAGCATGATGAAACCTCTTTAAAAATATTTTGGAAATATATGTTTTCTGTGTAAATTCAAGAAATGGGTTAATCAGCCACAGTTTCTGGCAATATGTAATATTGCATTAGCTCCTTTATATAAGATATGCTTAGAAATAATCAGTTTGGCGGCCAAAGACTCTTTCAGAACAAAATGCCTTCAAATAATGAAAAAAAAAACTTTTGAACTCCAATTTTGTAATTGGTCTTGATTTAAAAAGAGGATTGTAGGTAAATTATAGAATTGGCATCGGTTCTGAATCGTGGACCTCTTCTTCCACCATTTTTTTCTCTGCCTAATAAATCATCCTCCAGTAATTTAAGTTCTTCAAATTTTCAAGCACGTTCGTGAAAAAAAAAATTAAATTGGGTAAAATTTGAGAAGGAACCAGTCAATGGTGGCAAAGTGGGCGAAAGTGATCTGACTCCCTCTTATTGATAACAAAGTTCTGTACTCTGCGTGAATATTGAAGGAAAACGTAATATTATTTAAGTTTTTGAAGGGATTTTTTTAACCTAAGTTTCACCATGGAAAATTTTCTAAATTTTATGGAAATGATGAAAGATTCGAATATCAATCTGTAAATTAACCTTCGAGGAAAACTTCAAAAACAGGTGTAATGCATACAGAGACTTGAACTTTTATGAAAGCTAACAATAATAAACTTACTCTGTATGCATTAAATTAGTTTCTTGAAAGCAAACAAGAAAAGGATTTGAAAACAAGCAGATTTCAGGATAAGATTTTTAGTTAGCAGCAAATTTGTCTGCATTATTTTTTTTCCTCAAAAGTGCATTGTGCTCTGGGAATATCTTAGAATAAAATTGAAGGAAGCAAACACAAAGTTATGGATCTGCATCCATAGTATTCACTTCGAAGATATTTTTTATTCATGTGTATTGGGAATTCCGACAATTTTTTATCGCAAATGTAAGCGTTTTGTCTGGCTTGTTTCGAACATGTATGCAAGTTTTCTGAAAGGTTTATGGCAGGTACAAAAAATGACCAAGCTACTATACAAAAAGATGTAGAACATTTCCAGCGCCTGTTGCTTGATGTCAGTTTATGGTTTCTTTTTTTGCCGTAGTAAGAGTAGGTTCTTGAGCTCAATATCTGGGATGATGGCTGATGAAAGGTGAAAAGGGTCGTACTTCTCCCCCACAATTACACTCAGAGTCCCCATGACGCTTAACGTTATAAGATTCAGAGAATGCTATACACGCGTCTCTGGGAAATTGATTGTGACAAATGATTGCATCTCCATGTGACTTTAATAGCGACATGTGCATTTGTGCACTATTGCAGATAAACAGCTACAGGTAACATCAAATTCCTTTTCTGTATATTGTTTCCTTCTTATCTGCGTTTTAACCGACATTGTTTCAATTTTTTGTACATTAGGTTTTTTTGTAATATAGATACTTTACAAAAAAGGGGTTAACGTTTGGGGGTCAGCTGAACTTGATTTATACCAGAAATTGTTAAAAAATGCATGAACTTACATAAAAAATAAAAGTACATGTTTTATATCATGCGGCACTTTTCAAGGTTGATACACGCATTCACTTTGTAATATTTCAGCAATTTCTTTTCTAAGATTAATTCTAGAGGGAATTTTTCAATGAAAGAAAAAAGATTTTAAGTTCAATTGCAATAAGATGTTTGATTATAGATATTGTGCGTATTTAATATCTGCATTTGGACAAACTTACCTATCGTAGTGTAAATTGTAGCACAGAAAAACAAAGATCCCCACATACTCCAAAGTGGTTTTTCGGTGGTATCATAGGGTGTGTTCCTGATCAAATTTTCATAATTCTCCAAATATTCTCGGGACTCTTGAATCCATTCAGTTTCATTTAGCATTTTATTATTTAATTTAAACAGTTGTTTTGCCGTGAGTTCCCGGAAGTTCACAACTTTTTCTCTCTGGTCCAGCTCTTCCTGATATTCTATCCAGTGAAACATAATCATTCCTATAATTGAATAAAGCACAAGTAAAACCGAAAGCCCCAACAGAGACTTGGATACTGCATAAATCTTCTTAAAGAAGTCTTTGATTTTGTTGATGATGATTTGCAATTTTGAGTCCGCTTCTATATCCTGCTCCTTTGGTCTCCCTTCTTCCTCCGGAATACTTTCCTCCGTCTCGGACGACATTTTACAATTTCCCTCTTTATTCCTGTCTTGAACAGAACTTATTGTAACCTCTGGAACCGTCAAAAGACAGCCACCTTGATTCCAGACCATGCATGCACCGAGTCAGTTTTTTCTACTATTATCAAACTCTAGCTTTCGTTTTTATCTCGTTAATTCAGGCTTGCTGGTGACTTGCTACCTCTTGCTCTCACTATGTCTATTTTTATACCCTCGCGAGTAAGTATTTCTAACCACAGCACAATGTTGCTGATTCCTTCTATCCGTCAATGAAGACTAAGTATCCAATAGTGCAAATAAATTTTAAGAGAAGTCCTCGATAAGCTAATACAAGTCTTAAATCCAGTGAAGTGGTGATAAAACCTAGCGTTTTGTTTCAAGCATAGGGTCACGAGTGATGCTGCATCTTTCCCTGCAAAGTGAATATTAGAAACATATGTTGCTGTTGTATAATGCCAAGATCCCCTCTCTCTCGCTCTCTGTCATTGGTGAGTGCGTATATTTATATGTTTCCAGTGAAGCGATTTCGTCACAGTGTACGGAATGGTCCGAGTTTTACAGTCCGATTAGTAATTCCTGCTCACGTTTCCTTTATCTCAAGCGAGATTTACGAACTTTTTAAAATACTACACACAGATATCGAGCTGAAACTTTACATTGTTGAACCTGTGTGTCGAGCATATACATGTAAATATTTACATCGTTAATTTGTAACGATGACCACATGTGGATACTCATTTAACAGGAATGGATGATGGAATTAGGGTAATGATTTTGTCCACGTTCGCAGTCGAGACTAACAAAAATAGGGATCTATCATTTTTTTAACCCGTCGTTAACCAATTTTTAGGGTTCACCGAGGAGCATGTGTTTACTATTCTTCAGACTGACAACAAAAACGTTCATGACTAGTGCAAGCTGAGAGTCATGTTGGTATATTTAATAGAACATGCTACGTGATTGCGATTGAAAATGTTGATATTCATATACTTTGAAATATATCTCACGGTTTTCTTAGAATCAAGCTATATTAAATAAAATGTTAGAAGCGCAAAGATGTACTGTACTAGTATCCTGTACTGCGAAGAAAGCAGACACAAAATCTAAACGACGGCACAAAAAACTAAACATGACAAACAGTATCTTGTTTACTATTGCACGTGCTCGACGTTTGTAAATTAAATATTTTAGCTTTGATTTAAATTGTTGTGTAGTGTGGGAAATGTTTGAATAGGCATTTTCTTGCATTAAAAGTTTATTTTCTCAAAGGCAATATTATATATCATTTATTTGACTCTCCAAACTAGATTTAATATTTTGTATAATTTTTTTTATCATATTTGTTCTTTTTGTTTGTTTTTTCTAAAATTAATTCTGACACAACCCTTACCGATAGAAAATGTACTATGTTTTATTTTAATTGAATTACATGTATTTCGAAATAGTGCATAATGCAGATTTCCCAGCGATCCATTCACTTTAACCCCAAAAGAGAAAACCAGCAAATGCATAAAATGTATTGTATCTCATATACATGTGTTAGACTACTTTGCTTTGGTCTTGTAACATTTTCAGCCTATACAATCACTAATTAGAACAATGGCGGATAATGGATTTTTACAAAACTGTATCCCCAATATAAATGTCCGTTTAGCTTAAAAGTAATCAAAATCTACCATAAAATCATAATTGTAACTTTTTGTCAAAACGTCATACGAGAAAAAAGTAAAACAAAATATGAATTTATTAATAAAGATAAAGTATTTTTGAATGAATATAGTTTCCATCAAGTGACAATCTAAACCAGTAGTGCTAATCTATCAATCATTTTGTCTTAACCCATTATTAATTAAGTAGATATGTATAGACGATATATTGCACCTACCTATTGCATATATGCAGAGATTTGTGGAAATAAAGAAACATTACCTCTCTAATATCTAAAAATAAGAAGCAAAAAAAAAAATCCCAATTTTGTAACCAAGAGGATTTTTAACGAAACAAATGAGCCGTAAAGTATCGCCGTTCTGAAATATACGTATACATCGATGTTTTGAATCGTCTTTATTAATCTGTTAAAAAACAAAATGGAAATGATATCTATTTACGTTTCAAATGGTTAATTGACCTTATCAAAGAAAGCGACACACTGAGGTATACCATATTCTCAAAGAATAATTTATCTTTAAATAAGTTAAGATTAACCTATCAGTCTAATTGCTCCTTAACCCGTGCGGCCCGTGTGCTGAATGATGTTTTCTGTAACACTCTCGCCAACTTTTAATTCTGTGGAACCTAAGTGCGAAAAGATAAGACTTAAGTCTAACTGCAAAAGCAGTTTAGCTTAGTTTCGTTTTACAAAAAACACAGTAATAGCCTAATCTCGCAGAGGGGGCTAAATGTTCACACAGAGGTTATTTCTCATTAGTGTTTGGTTCGACTTTTACAACCTCATTTCCGTGTGTTTGATAATTTTCATGCTCGTTCGGGAAGTGGTTAAATTAGCTTAATTTTGATGTCTTTTTACATATTGGATTATCAATTGTATCCACCCTACATAATCAATCTTAAATTCAAAAAGTATGCTACGTGGAACAAAGTTTGAATTTTAGAAGGTGGCTATTCTCTATCTTTTATATGATAAGATTTCGTATATCATCATTTAGAGTTCGTCGATTCAATGGTAATTTAGCAATATGAAGTCATACATCAAAAATGATAAGTTTCTTTAATACCTGGCAAATAACCCTGGTTTCGCTACCTATCAAACGTTCATACAATTTTTTGAAACATTTTAAACCGGTACAATGAAATCAGACATGAAATGAAGGATATGGAGATAACGAACAGTATTAAATCTCAAAGTCCATTAAACAATATACAAAATCAGAGCAGAGCTAACACGGACCTCCGAAACATCGGAGATGGGATCAGGTGCCATGGAGGAGTGAGCATCCCCTGCCGACCGGTCACACCCGCCGTGAGCTCGTTGTCATGATCAAGAAATAACGGAAAAAATCCGTCGTCAGTTCAGTGTATAAATAATGGACTAACAATTGGTATGAAAAACGTCAGTCAGCATTTGACTCTATGATAAATTGTATTTGCTGACAAGGTCATTGTATCGATCATAGAACTTACGAAATGATGACTTTAAACGAAACTGCTGATATTCTTGTTTCATCAACTTGCTTGTCAATAATTTACCTCGTTTAAGAAATTGTTCATACGTAGAGCATGCTCTTGCGTATCGAATCAACTGAGATATATATACTCCGTATGCAGGTGATGAAGGTATATTCCTGCATAAGTGAGGGAAGTTGACGATAGAAAAGTTAAAGTCATCACGTTTATCATATAGCTTGGTTGTTAGATTACCATTAGTGAAATATATGGAATTAAACGAACAGTATTCAAGCCCAGAAGTCCCTTCAAACAATACAAAGCGGGATCAGAGCGAACGCGACCTCTAAAACATCAGAGGTAGGATAAGGTACCAAAGAGGACTGAGCACTCCCTGCCAATATAGGCCGGTTTACCCCATTATGTGCTCCTTGTCATGATCAGAAAAATAACGGGAAATTCCGGCGACAATTCAGTGTATAAATAATGGCTTAACAATTAATATGAAAATCGTCAATAAAAATTTCACTTTATGATGGATTACATTGACGTACATTGTCATTGTAAGCTCTATGATAAATGTGATGACTTTAATTTTTCTATCGTCAACTTCCCTTACTTATGCAGCAATATACCTTCATCATCTGCATACGGAGTTTATATACCTCAGTTGATTTGATACGCAAGAATATGCTCTACGTATGAACAATTTCTAAAACGAGATAAATTATTGACAAACTAGTTGATGAAACAAGAATATCAGCAGTCTCGTTTAAAGTCATCATTTTGCAAGTTCTTGGTCGATAAAATGAACTTGTCAGCAAATACAACTTATCATTGAGTCAAATGCTGACTGACGATTTTCATACTAATTGTTAGTCCATTATTCATACACTGAATTGACGACTGATTTTTCCGTTATTTCCCGATCATGACAAGGAGCAGACAGCGGGTTTGACCGGTCATCAGGGGATGCTCACTCCTCCATGACACCTGATCCCACCTCTGATGTTTTAGAGGTCTGTGTGTGCTCCGCTCCTATTTTGTATTATTTTATGGACTTTGATATTGAACACTGTTCCTTATCTCCATATCTTTCATGGACCATAAAATTTGCAAAATGATGTCGTTAAACGAGACTACTAGTAATGATATTCTTATCTAATCAACTTGGTTGTCAAATGAATAACTTACCTCGTTTGAGAAAGAATAGGGTACAGTTTGAGCTTAATTGTGCCCTGAAAATTTAATGGTCTTGAAAATTTATGAAATTGGCTTTAACAATTGTTGAGTAGATGAATATGATAAATCATTAAAGAATATGGCATGAAGGAGGACCTCTCTGGAAATATGACGTCATTATCTTGGTACATTTCTAAATTTAATACAGAAAAGCCTCAAAATGACTTACTTCTGTGCTAATTTTCCTTTAGAAATTAGTTTATGCCACCGTCGTCCACTTTAATTTTTGGATATATTATGTTAACTGCCATGAAAAATCACATATCTCAAAATCTTTTTGGGCGACGGTGGCAGAGTATGATTTTTGAAAGAAAATTCCACTGAAAATTGATGTCTTCTGCAACTTTTTAAGAAAATACGGGAAAATGCACAAGTTAATGATGTCACAATTAGCATATAGGAGGTCAAATGAGAAAAACGATTTGTGTATTCTTACTGCAGGGAATTCCTATGATTCAGAAAGAATGAATTTTGATTTCTTATATCACTTTCATATTTTAGAAAAATATAGGGCTTAATTTGTATTGCTTGTTCTTGTTCATTTAAAGAATCACTGTCTAGTTTGTTGGGCATGACAGGGAATCAACGATAGTTGGAAACATGGGATAATTTCCATATCGAGAGAAGCCCTTTACACATAAATTAAACCACGTTTCGGCCTGTTTTTTTATGTCCTTGGAAAACCCAACAAACTAGACAGTGATTCCTTATATATTTAATTCATTAGGACATCAAAAAAATGAATTCGAAAAATTGTTGCATTTTCGTCTAAAAGATTTAAAAGAACACATGAAATCCATTTAATTAAGAAAATATATGTACAGTTTATATAATTTTTCTTGTCAAAAAACTATACATATATTTTTTTAAATGTGATTATGGATTACATGCAATCTTATATCGTATTAACATTGAGTAAACGATAACTATGTACCATATACCTCATGGCAAATTTAGAGGTGTTTTTTTTTATAATAACATTTTTTTTCTATATCTACAAATGAAAATTTGTGAGAAGATTTTCACAGAAAGCATCCATCATCATTTTAGGTAAGCTAATCACTCTCGGTGTGTTCTTTAGTAATCATAACTTTTCTTTAATGAAGTGCAGCAAAATTTGGACTTATTTTTTTTTTCATATTAAAGCATATGTGCATCTGATTTTAAATCGTTTTCTTATTTTCCAGATAATTCAGAAATGTTAAAGTTCCACTCCTCAGGCCAGGTCTGTACTACTTAAAAAGGACAAATATCTACATGTAATTTGTTGGTTTATATCAGGGTTGTAAATTTACTATTCATACATGTGTATTATATTATATTGTGTATATCATATTATTATGTATCA